AGGGAAATTGTCTTTTAGGAATAAGTTTTCAGCGCCCACCGAAACCGTGCAAATTTTAAAACCTTTCCTGCAGTTTTAGAACTTTTCCTGAATCAGATTCTTGGTCTGCAAACTTGTCGGTTAAATTTTAAAAATAGCTTTGCAGACCCTGGAAGGCTCTACCGTCCCTCCCCCACCACCCACGTCTTTTTTTTTTTTTTTAAAAAGGCGAAGACGCCAGCGAAAGGCCGTGCAACACTTGCAACGCCTTGGGTCTGCGTGATCGCCTTTGTAAAGAAAATAAGATTTTTGCATCAGATCTACAGAAACATTACAGTAAAATGCATGCGATGGTTAAGTAGCTCAAGAAACTCCAGCGCTGAACACGGGGAAATCCGTGGTTTTATTTTTATATTCTGATTTCGTGTGTATGTGCACGCGCGCGCGCGCGCGCGCACGCGCGTGTCTCTACTTTCGGCACCTAAATTCCCCGCTCCCCGTAGAGCCTAACGCAAGGTTCTACAGCACCCCGAGCGCAGGGCTCAAGCCACGACAGCTTCGATCTTCCATGGGGAGAATGGGGGACACTGGCCTCGGTGGCGGCGTCAGGCATGTAGCTCAGCTCCCCGCGGCCCACCACTTGCTCGTCCATGGTGCCGGCGGCTGGCACCATTGAGTTAGTTAAGTCAGAGTCGGACCGGGATAGCTGAGGGCCGCCAGGGCAGCCCCCTCCTAGGTCCAGTCGGCAGCGCCTAGGCGGGGTTGTGAGCCTGGCTGCCTACCTGCCTCGAAGAACCCCCAGGCCACTTCGGGGCCTGGGTTTCGTGCCTAGGGCTTTGGCCGCTGCAGTTCAGCGCTACCCATTGGTCTCCCCGTCCAGCACCCACACAATTTGAGCCCTGCTTGTTTGCAGATTTGTTCCACCCGGGACAGGGAAAGAGAAGCAGCCGTGTTCATATCCTTAGACAGCGTTCAGGCGCAATTTTTACTATGATATTTAGCAAATAGACGAGAAATTTTAAAGAACAGTACAAGGAATGTCCCTTTACCCCTGCCCCCAAACTGCGTGTAACAACTGTAACATATTGCAACATTTGCTTCCCCCCAGCACACGGAATGTGTGCATGTGGTAGCTGCATCATTTGAAAACTGCGGACATCGTGACATTTCACCTTTACATTTCAGCACGCATCTTCTAAGTATAAGCACAACCTCCTACCTGCCGTCAATGCCGTTCTCACACGTAAGAAAATGAAGTCTCAGGCCCTAAAAGCCTCTAACATTCACACTAAGGGGTCCTTTCTCTCCTGTTTCCCCACTTCAGTCTTGAAACCACTTTCCCTTCTTGGACTGGGAGTTTGTGTAGACAACTGTTCCCTGTTCTCTACTATGTTCCCCAAAGCAGACAGCCGACACGTACAGCGATCGCCTGGTCCCAGGGCCTCTCTGTCCCTGAGAGCTTGGCAGAGTAGTGGGGGCAAGGGAGTCCGGACAAGTCTGGACTGAAATGCTTGGGGAGAGCACTACACTCAGGCAATCCTCCCCCTTCTTGAATCCTCCCCCCCAAAATTTCAGACATTTCCGGGAAGATCAGGGCTAGGGTCTTTGCTCAGCCACCTAACACCCTCCTGACATCTCAAATGGCACGACGGCACGGCGAGGGCACCGGTGGACGAGTATGTGGGCCTCTGGGTGAGTGCTGCACTACCTTGTGCCCTTGGCTTTGCCGTTTTCCATTCTCTCTTCTTTCTCCCTGAACCCCAGCTATTAGGCTCTGGATCGGCTATTCTGGGCGCGGAGGACCCTTCTCGCTCCTTCTCAGCTGCAGGCCAAGGCAGTGGCGTCGAGCGCCTGCACAACCCCCCTTCCCTACAGCTCCCTCTCTTTTCCTCCTCCCTTCCCCTTTCCCTCCCCCGGCCTGGGAGAAGCGAGGCGAAGAGCGGGCGGGGGGGGGGGGAAGCTCTGGATCCGTGTGGCCACGCCCCCAGAGCCGGCTTTTTCTAGGGCCGCTCCCAGAGCCTCACTGCTGGCTGCCCTGCTCCCCTCTCTGGGTGCGCACAGCTCCAGCCTTTTGCTCCGCTCCACCTCTGCCACGCTGCTCTCCGAGCTTCGGCTGAAGCCAGCCCTAGAGCGCGCCCTCCGCCCTTCCTCCCCAGCTCCCGGCTCTCCGCTCCCGGCTCTCGGTCCTTTTTGCTGGTGCCCAGCCCCTCGCGCCTAGGGTCCTCGCCGCCTTCTAAGTCCTTGCCCTGCTCCGCTCCTCACTCCAGCCCTAAGTCTCGCTATCTGTGCCCCCCCCGACCCCACCCTTCCTTCCTTCCTCTGTCTTTTGCTTGCTTGCTCGTTCTCTAGCTCTCAGACTCTGCAAGCAGCTTCGCAGGAAAATCCCAGAAACCTTTGCAAAAAGCTGACAATGAAATTTAAGAAGTTCTTCGATTTCGGCGCCATTTTCGAGTGGATCGAGAGGTGACACGCGATTTTTTTTAAGGGACTTGTTGGTTGGCGTTCCCCCCACCCCCACCCCAGTAACGTAGGTTATGGCAGAATGAAAAAAATCTGGTGACAATGATGGAAAAGTTTTGTGTTGCTTTGGGGTTGTAAAGCACGTTTGGGAACCTTGAAAGAGTTTAGCACAGAAGTGCAGCCGGGAAAATTCTTAGGAAACGGGCTTGGAAAAGAGCTCAGACTGAGGGAAGGGAAGAGAAAACTGAGTAAGGGGCAGTAACCTATCGTCAGCTTCGCCAGGGTCGGGTGTGACTGGTTTTCACAGACCCTTAAGGGACTTTTCATGGCTCTTCTTTGTAAGCAGTAAAATATCTCTTGAAAATAAATGTGTGATTAATTTTTCATTGTCTTTTTACCAATTAAAACTTTCAAGGTTGTTTAATTTTCCCTGTAGGAAAGTTGACATTAGGAAAGTTTGGCACGAATGCGCCCAGGGAAGATACATCGTGTGTTTGGGATGAGGGAAAGAAAGCATCTGCACGATTAGGACAAAACGTTGTAAAAGTATGAACGGAGGAAGAGTTGTATTCTTTGGCTCTTACACGATTTGGCCAAACAGTTTAGTTCGGAAGGGGGGTGGGTGGGACAATGGGCAACTTTGAAAGTATCGATTCTTTGTCTATTGTATCAGCCGCTGACCGTCTCCTAAAGTGACAAAATGCCTCTTCGTCATCTCTTTTCGTAAGTATGTTTCAATCTAAGGGGAAATCCGTAGAACAGGATTGTAAGGTAGCTTTCTACGAGTGTAAGTCGTTGTACTGTCACTGGGAGAAAAGAAAGGGGTTAAGCGAAGGGTGCAAATGAATTCGATTCCAGTGGGCAGTGTGCAGAGTAATTGGAAGGGACCTTCGCCTTTGACACCATTGCTATTTGGAATGAACTTTTGTTTTTCTAAGTAGTCAACCAAGGAAATGTTAAATTAGGGATGACTTTAACATCTGATGTAATAGTTCACATATTTGTGTGGAACTTAAATATGTAAATGGGAGATGGTTGTGGAGTTTTAAAGTGTAATTGTACATTTGCTAAACATGTTTTTTTTTTCTTTTTAAGGGCAACCAAGGACGTTTTTCTACATAAATCCCAAAAGTCAATGTAAACGTTGTAAATAGCATAGCCAAAACAAGAAGGAATTTATATACACTGAACTGTATTTCTCACTTTAGGGAGCAGAATTATTTTTATTAATAACTTTGTTTACCATGACAGAAATACTGTATTTGACAACACTGGGTCTCAAACTGGTGTGACGTATTTTGCACTTAATTTTATTAAATATTGTGCACAGTAAAGTTACTAACAAATAGGACACAACATCATTTGAAAAACCGATATAACTTTAAAATGAACCAAAACACTAGGCAGACTTGGCTACTTCAATTGTATATATTTCTATTGAAATGTATTTTAACTTTCAAAGCCATTAATTAGAGTTTGGTGCTGGTTTTGTTGTTTTAACTTTCAGGTTTGTGATTGAGGGTTACTGGGTAGTTTCTTCTGTGCTTAATTGACTATTTTGTTTAAACAGTGGGGGAGGATGTGTGTAACTTACTGCTAATGTGTGTCCATTTTAAAAAGGAAAAGTGGTATCTAACGAGTTAATCATTAAGGAATATGCACAGTGCCAGCCATTTCAGGACGTGAAAGAGTTCGTGTGGAGGTGCTTAAGAAAAGAAGGAGTAATTTCACATGAAGTATTTAAATGGTTTGATTGATGTTTTGATAGGTGACATTGAAAAAATATAAATTATTTATAGGTAAGTCTGAGTGACCACTTTCACATGTAAAGACCCAGCATTTTATCTAATGACAATTATTTCTCATTCTTTGACACCTTTAAAAATAACTCAAAGCAGGGTATTTGCTGTAAGAATGAAGAAGTGCCAGGTTAAAGGGGATTCTGATGCTTGGATGGAGGGCTCTGTATTTCCCAGCTACCCTGTATGTTAGAATCAGCTGAAGCTGCCAAAGTTTCTTTGGTGATCTCCTTTAAGTCAATAAGTGAAAAGGGTTGTTTTTTATAATGGGGATATTCAATGAGTCTTAGGATTGCTAATGTGCAGCAGAAGTTTCACCAAGACTTCGAAGTTGGCAAAAGTAATCCAGGTGTCAAATTGCCTCAATTTATTTTATTATTACTTTCAGAGGTAAGATTATTTTAACACCCCAATTTCTATTTCCTACCCCTCTTCTTTTCACCTGTATACTTTTCCAAGATTCATCTTCTGGGAAAAGAAATTGAGAGTCACACCCTCCACTCTACTATCCACCCAGCAAATCTAATGGTGAAGTTCTAAAAAGTATGTCTATTTGGAATGAAGTGTCTTCATTGCAAGTTTTGCTTTATTCCTGGCCAGTGGGTGGGGTAGGGTGGGGCTTCCTTCTAGTCACCCTGTCCTCTCAACCTGCAGGCACCCCAGAGCAATCCCCCTTCGTTGACTCCGAGGGGATACAGCAGCAATTCATGTTTTGAAGTGCTTTACATTGTTCAAAACGTGAGGCGCTGCTATACCCCCTCGTGGGGAAGTTGGAAGGTGGGGTTCTGCTGGATATGTGTTCCTGTGAGGCATCCACTCCCAAAGCCAACTCAGCAGCAGGTAGGTGGGTGGGTGGGAGGCTTTGGTCGCTTTTTTCCTTCCTCCTCACCCTTCTCCCACAAGACACCACCAGATTTGGGGAGAGGGCACTCTGCTGGGGCTTGGGGGCTGGAGGGGTGGGGCGCGCCAGGATGGACGCGGTGCCTGCACTCAGCCGTGCCCTAGCAGCAGGAACAGTACTGCAGTGGGTGATAGGTAATCTGGAGTATTGTTCCTGCTGCCCGGGCAAGGTTGGGACACCCACACGAGTCCACCCACCAGGTAAGTCCTAGTGCAGCACCTGTGGTGTGCACCCCAGGAGGTGCACGGTTGTCCTCCCTCAAACATTTGCCGGTCTTTGAATATGTAAATGGGTATAAATGAAAGGTTTTTCATTTTAGCACCGCATTCCCTGCCCAAGGAAAATATAAGTGATTGAAAAAAATCCCTGCCTGATCACTTAGAATGCCGCCCACACAACAAAAAAACGAAGACTACCTCAGACTCCAACAACTAAATGGGGGTGGGGGAGTGGAAAAAGAGTAAGGGGGACAGCACGGGGTGACCCACTGCAAGCAGTCCCCAGGCCATTCTGTTGTTCCTGGTACACAGCGTCACATCCTGCGCCTGGAAAGGACTTTGGAGTCCAAGAAAGATGAAAGTTTCCGTCCCCTTCCTCTCCCTTCCCTCTAGCTGTGTTTTGGGGGACTGCCCTGGAGCTCAAGCCGCAGAAGATGCGGTGAGGTGGGGGTCCATGCAAGCCAGTGACTCCCAGGCGCCGTGGGAAGTGGCTGACCTGCCTGACCTGAGGCCTTCAGGGAGAGCGGGGACTTGAGAGAGTGGCCCCTGAATGAGGCCCTGCATTTGTAGCTGCTCTTGCTCTCTCTCCCAAAATGGTCCCAGAATTTCACTCTGAAAGCGGTGTCCCAAGGCTCACATAAGGACAAGGCACTCGCTTGGCAGTTCTGGAGAAAACGGCAGCACCTCAGCTGTTGACTGAGGGGCCCTTCGGTACCGCCAAAACTCTGGATACTGTTACTAATTAGTGCCGCACAACTGTCGACCTCTAACACCATCTCCTCTTCTCACTGGGGGTCCCAGTAGGTTTAGGAGCTTGACAGACTGCCTAGGAATGAGAGGGCTCATTCTCTGGCTGAGGGAGCCCTTTGCCTGTGAAAATCACTTAGAATCTAAATCTTAGATATTTATTTTTGACCTGGCGAACCGGGACGTAAAGGACTGTTGGCAGACAAAGGGAGGTGTGGAACATTTCCACACTTTATGTTCTCTTAAAAGAAACAAAACACAAAGCCCCCTCTGGTCTGGATGGGCTGCCTGGAACTGATCCCACCGAGGGCCGGGAGTGGGGCCCCCAAAAGGGCCCCGGTCTAGGGAGGAGGAGGTTTGCAGGGGCCTGGAGCTGGGTGGGAGTTTGGATCAGCCGCCCGAAAAGCCCGCTCTCCCAGACTCCTTTGCACCAAGGGCAGTTGCAGGACGGTTTGGGGCCCTTCCGACCGCCGCGGTCCCTCAGGCTCCCAGGGGCGCCAGGACCCAGACAACTTGGCTAAGCCTGGCTTCCCACAGCAGCCGTTGCCCCTCCTCAGAGCCGCGATCCCCAGGCCCGGGAGCCCTGGAGTGGGCTCCCACCCTCGCAGGCTGCTCCATTCCCCTTCGGGCCCGCAATCTCCAGGCCTAGCCGGTGAACAGGTTCCCGCCCCCGCCTGCCTCTGTATTTGGAAGTGGGGAGGCATCTCGAGGCTGCCCTCCTGCCTCTCACCAGCTTCCCTTCTCCCTTTCTCTCTGCTCCGTACCGGTCCCCCTCGAGCCAGAAGGAGATCCGGTGGCACCCAGCTCTCCGGGAGGAATCCTGCTCCTTCCAGTAGGCGCCTGCAGGACCCAGGTGAGAGACCCAGCGGGTTGGGGACTGAGAGGGGCTGAGAGCGAGGACCAAGTGATCCTGACTAGGGGGCATTGCCTTCCAGAAGTTCAGCGACCCTTTGCCCAGGGCCCCCCAAGAGGCATCGAGATTGAGGGCGCCCAAACTGCTCTCTGACTGCACGGTGCCCTTTTCTGACTTAAAATGTCAGCTTGCACCATATTCACAAGATCGAAGTTGCTGTGTGCTTAGATTTTCCTCCAAGGACAAAAATGTGAATAAAGCAATATTTCAGCCAAACATTTGTGTCAGTTAAGAATATGGCAATTCGTTCCAGACTATAAACTCTCTTTAACAACTCTCTAAGGTATTTTTTAAATTGTTTTTTCAACATTACTAAATGTGCATCATAATGTGTGAGAGACTTGTGTAAAGGGAGTCAATTTACAGTCAGCTGATTAATTGATCCAATGTTACCATCTTCAGAGAGGCACCTTTCCGTTGTTTTCTCAGTGATTTTTCTCCCGACATATGTTATTTGTTAGTGAGAAAGCTAAGTGCATACAGCAGTGTGCTACATTTATTACACAGGTGTGGCCCTTAAACTAGGGAAAGCTTAGTTTAGTTCTCAGTTTAAAACTTGACGATTCTATAAGTTGTGGGACAAGATATACAGGTTGCTTTTATAAGCTAGAATTGAACATAATTTTTAATGTAATCATAGGAGTATTTTTAAGGCATCCAGCAACTCCAGTTAGCAGTACTGACTCTTTTTTTCCAACAAAGGAACACTACATCAACACTCTTGCCCTGGATCTGGACACAGAAGACTCCTGTTTCAAGAAAATACAATGATCTCTGAAAGTCTATAATTTATATTCATTTAACTCACTAGGTATTGAAAACCACCCAATTGTCTCACAGAATGGAGTAAAATATCATCGATCACTCAGTGTAATATTATACATCCTCTAAAAATGTTATTGGAAAATGTTTTATGATCTGTACGTCGAAATAACCCTCTCCTACCATTTCTCCCTGCTGCTCTCCCAAACCCATGCTTCTTTGTTCCAATTGGCAAGTAAACTTGTTTTTCCCGCCAAATGAGTCAGTCATAATGGGAACGTCAATTGATTTGAACAGATGTGTGTCAATGTGACTTGGAAAACTAGATGCCAGTAACCAGGGCCACAAAAAAAGGCAGTGGTTGCGACTCTGTAAAAATTTATGTGTGCATATAGACAAGGACTAAAGTGGCCCAAACAAAACAGGAAAACAGTTGGATATACTCCAGTGCTGGGAGACTGAATGACTGTATGCTGCTTTCCATTTCCGTTCATATGGGCAACTGTCCAATTAAAAAAAAAACCTAATAAGGACTCTGCAGTGCAAATTATTTTGTGGATTGTTTTAAAACGCCATACCTGTCAACTCACCAAGGCAGACGGGGCAGCAGGGAGCTGGATTTGTTCTGTTCCCCATCCCCCACCCCCATTCTGAACTACAGAGCTCAGGGCAACACTTGGAGAGTAGCTGATCCTACACAGGTGGGAGATGGGAGTTAACTTCTAGGCAGCTTTCCTCAGAGACTGCAACATGAAAATTAAAATAGGTTCCAAAAGCATTTTTTGAAGATTGATGAAAGATTATTGATAGGAATTAGAGACTTGAGTCAGGTGATATATCCAAGTTGACATACATTTTTAGAGCTCCATTTTCCCATTGGCCTGCAGTGTAACATCCCATAACCCTGGAACTTTATATCTGCATTCATATTTAGAATGATTACATTACTTTTCATGGAAAACAGTATATATACACCAGTTATAGCAAATGTGTCTCTCTCTGCCATCCTACACCTCACTCATCCCTGCCCATTAGTTGCTGCTCAAAAAATGAAAAAAGATCTGCTAGCTCTTTCCTAATATTCCACCTATCTGCTGGCTTGGCCTCCCTCCCCCCTGCTCCACAATTGATCTCTTTTAGCATGTTCAAAACAGCTTAGGCCCCTGTGGGAACTGTAAATTTATCCATTAGGGAGAAGCCCCTAGAAGACTTCTATTTCCCTTGGTTGCTCAATGTGGAGCTCTATAAACTAAGCAGTGGTGGGAGTTCAGGAGGTGGCCCTGAGAGCTGAGAACCAAGGTAGGGAGAATCTTGATTGTTTTGAAGTGTGATTTTCCCAAGGCAGCTTTTTCACATGTTCCCCATCCCCACCCCTACCTCTTCCCTAGACCAGACTGGTATCCCAAGAGCAGACCTTTTAAAGGGCTGGTCACAAAAACCACAATATTGAAAATCATAATAATTCCAACATCTTGCTTTTACAAATGCTTTCATATTTTCTACTTGGACAACCTCAAGAGATAAATAGGATAAGGCAGTCAAAATAAACAACTACAGAGAAGAAAACTGGGACTTCCAGAGTTTAAGGATTTGTTTGAGGCCTCTTCCTCTAGACCTCGTGTCATAGGGACTGCACATCAGTGACTAGAGCAGGAAATGGAGGTGAATTAGTTTGGTTAGAAAAATTCAGTGTGAAACTGATTAGTTTTATAACAGGCTTTTGCCTACATGCTGTACACTTCCTGGGGGAGTCTCAAGTTTGGCCCCAGGATGACTAAGTAATGACTATAAAATACCTAGCTGTGTACAAGTCCCCTCCCACCCCAAAAGCATGATTTAACTTCATTTAAAATCTCTGGCCCATATTTGGTTCTTTCTATAGTTTCAATCAAATGGAGCATTCAACCATAAGGGTTAACTTACTCAATGGAAACTTTTTTGGTCATTGCAAATAATATTTATAAAGACTATATAGAAACCTGGAAAGTGCTTATGATATCAAGTTTTAGAAACCAGGGACATAAAATCCCATGGACACCATTATTGAAAAGTGGAAAGGTCATGCAACAAGCATACTGGTTGCTTAAGGTGGTGGGATTTGAGCTGAGGTTTTTCCTTCTTTACTTTTCTTTCTATGTGTTTTTGTTGTGCCATGTTTTTTGTGACACTGTGAAACATAATTCTCTAAAAAGTCTTTAGGAATCATGGGTGACATGGAAACCTTGGGTCAAGGATGCAGAGACCTCAGACATCTCGGGGATCATCATGTCACGAGATACCACTGCGCACTTGTGACAGATTGATAACTGAAAGGTCTGGGAGCCACTTATCTTCATAGCAGAACAACTGGTAAGTATTACAAGACCAATCAAATGACAAGATCAGGAGAAAAATGGGCCCTGAGCAAGGAAGAAAATGGCCGCCATGGTGAGAGGAGGGGAAAATGAATTGTATTTTCATGGTTTAATGGGAGGTGAGGGGGTCACCGTTTGTGTCCTTCACTATTATTTTAAGTTTGTTTTTAGTGAATTGAAACTTACATAAGGAATAGGATTTTATATTCATGCTAGAATGTTAAAACAAAGAATTTATGCTCAAACAACAAGTGGGAATACATTAGCTATAAGTATTGCAGACACAGGGTCACCTTTAATATGTTGGGTTCATTTAAGTGGTCAAGAAAAAACATTGAAACTACATGAACAAAACATCATAGAAAAGAATACATAAAAGTGTTCATTTCAGTATTTTTAAGGATGGAAATTAGGAACATCCTGAATGACCAACAACAAAAGATTGAGTTAATAAAATATGGTGCCTTTAATAAGTGACATGAGATTGTCCTGGTGAAATATTTGGTGATTTTAAAAAACGGGGTAGGATCAAGGCTGGGAGGTGGGGATGGATGGGGCATGGAGGAGTGGTGCGGGGAAAATGGAAACAACTGTACTTGAACAACAATAAAAAATAAAAATAAAGTGCAAAATGTTTGCACTATTCCCATTAAGCAATCTAAGTATATAGGGAGCATTCTGCATGCAGCTTTGTTTCAATATACAGATGAAAGGCTGGGAGGAAATATACCAAAACTTTACTAGTGCTTATTTCTAAGTTGTGGAATATTAAGTGATCGAAGAGAGATGCTAAACTATTTTTGCGAGGTGTTCCTAATATGTAATATAAATGTATTGGGAACATTTTGCATTCATAGTTTTGTATCAATAATATGGGAAGACAGCTAGGAGGAAGTCTACATCAAAAGTCTATCGAAAGAAAGATGCTAAACTATTTTTGCGATATGTTCCGAATATGCAGTAAAATATATTGGGAGCATTTTGCATGCATGGTTTTGTATCAATATACAGATAAAAGGCTGGAGGGAATAAACCGAAAATCTAATAATGCTTATTTGTGGCTTGTGATATCACAAAGTGATAAAAGTAAGGTACAAAATTATTTTTGCAATATGTTCCTGAATATGTAATATAAGTGTATTGGGAACATTTTGCATATGTAGTTTTGTATCAATATTTAGAAAAAAGGCTAGGAAGAAATATGCTAAAATTTAATAGTTGTTATTTCTGTGTTCTGGTATTATAGATGATATCTGGTCTTCTTTTTATACTTTTATGTATTTTCCAAGTAATATTGGTATAAACGACAAAATGTATTACTTTTATAGTGATAATAAAACTAATTTTATGTTTTAAAAGAGTTGTTTTTTTTTTAATAAAAAGCACGGACCCCTGACCTGGGGATGGGGAGGTGGGGAAAGGCTTTCTGTTTAGGCAGCAATGGGCCTAGAATACATTTTCAAACCTGTCTGGGCAAACCCTACACAGCTTCGGTTGGCTCTGCAGTGCAAATCTGTCTTATCATTTGCTCTTGGCAAAACAAAAAGAAAGTATAATTTAAAAATATAACCATGACAGAGTAATAATAGCAATATTTCTAAACAGACTCCCTGCTATCTCCTGTCCAATCAAAGTAGCACTTTAAGAAGTACAGAGAGTTGAAACAGGCTCCCTTTCCTCTAGGAGCAATTTAGGATGGCAGGACTTGGATGCTTGCCCAGGGACTCAAGACACAGTAGCCAGTTTGGGACATGCCTGAGTCCGGAAAACAACTTACCAAAAGTCTAATTCCATTTAGCTAACTTTCTACAGTTGCAGATGAAGCCCCCTGTCTTTTCCTACCAATTCTGCTGAACATGACAACCCTGGTGTTGGAGAATACATTTGATACCCAAATTTAGACTTTCCATGTTCTGTTAAGAAAGACACAACCATTTGGAAACATAGCAGGCCCACAGCCTGACAAGACACCTACCAAGGCTTTGAGCGTTTCTTGGTTACAGCAACAGCACATACGTATTTTATTTAATCTCTACTGTATTTTTAAAGATTTTATTTATTTTTACAGAGGGGGGAGGAAGGGAAAGAGACATCAGTGCGTGGTTGCCTCTTGTGCACCCCCTACTGGGGACCTGATCCACAACCCAGGCATGTGCCCAGACTGGGAATCAAACTGGTGACCCTTTGGTTCTCAGGCCAGCACTCAATCCACTGAGCACACCAGCCAGGGTTTTATCGTATTATTTTACATTACCTTTTAGTCCCCTACACCCCTTCCCCCAGCAATCACCACACTGTTGTCCATGTTCATGAGTCGTGTTTCCATTTTGCTCAATCCCTCTCACCCTTAACCTTCCCCACCCCCTACTAGCTGTCATCCTGCTCTCCATCTCTGAGTCAGTCCCCATTTTCCTTGTTAGTTCAGTTTGATCATTAGATTCCACATATGAGTGAAATCATATGGTATATGCTAGGTCTTTCCCTAACTGGCTTATTTTACTTAGCATAATGTACTCCAGGTCGATCCACACTGTTGCAAAGGCTAAAAATTTCTTTATGGCCTAGCCCAAAGGTGGCAAACACAAGGCCTGTAAGCAGAATCCGGCCCTCCACCTTGTTTTATCCGGCCCAGCACCTTGTTTCTACCTGGTGGTGGTGCTGAGCTCTTGCTTAACTGTTAAGGAGTAGTTACATTTATACAGTCCTAAAATTACATTCAGCCCTTTGAAGGCAACTGAGAAGCTGATGTGGCTGGCCCCTAGTAAAAATGAGTTTGACACCCCTGGCCTAGAAGTATTCCATTGGAGGCACAACATTAGAAGAGGACCTAGGTTCCTTCCCATCCTTTTAGAATCACTCTGGGGAAACATTTTCCCCCAGATAATTATTTGTACTCTGTAGCAAGTCCCTACCACTAGATATTACTTCATAGTATAAGTCTATACTATTCGTAAAAGCAGAAGCTAATGTTTAGAGGCAAAAATATACTTTGAGAATATTCTTCCTGATGCTATGCTCTTCCTTGTTCTGCTTGAGAATGAATAATCATAAAGTCAAACGTCCTTTTGTGAATTGTGTGCTCCTTTTTAAGTGTTTCATAAGTAATTTTCTCTGCCACATCCTATCAATCAGAACACATTTTCTGGGTGCCTAGCTCTGTGCTACTTATTGGGAGGGGAGAGGACAGGAGAGAAGAGGAGGCTAAAGTGATACTGAGCCAGAGCGGCCTTGA